CTTTTGCCATTCTGTCTCCACTCAGTTTCTCTTCTGACACGGCTCCAGACCCTAATTTCATCCTCCATTGAGTTCTCCTCCTTACTCGGCTCTGTTGGGGCCTCATATCCATGATATCCATCACCCAAGAGCTGGGAACTGGATATATTATGGGAGGCAGAAAGATGGTGAGAATATGTTTTGGCAATAGAAGCCTGCAAGTCATTTTCCTAACTCCCTGATCAGGCAATGCAGAGCACCTGATACAACACTCCAGGTGAATCATAAACTCTGAAATTAAAAATGTTTTTTTAAAATAGCTGCACTTTTCACAGAAACACCGGATTTGACTAAATCAAATCATATAACTACTAAGGACACCTTATGGAGAATAACTAATGATTTTGTAGCTGTTTCTATTAAATCCAAAAATCCAAATAAAACACACGGCACAGGATCCAACATTATGAGCTTATCATAAAGGACATACTGAGAACATTATTTTGACTTCCGTTTCCACCTCATAGACGACTGATTCAAACAGAAATAAAGAACTAAGCCAGTTATTTATTTAGATGTGGCAGCTACACCTATCCAACATGCTACATCCCAATCTGAGGTAAATCTCTACTCCACATACACAGCCTGTTTTCATTGTGACATAGCTTTCAATGGGGAAAGGAAATAGTCTTTTGCTCCTTCCAAAATATTTTTAAACAGGGACTAAACCAGATTACTAGGTTACTAAATTTCATAAATCTTAAAAACCAAAACATTTAACCCATCACAGTCAAACCTATACTACTTGGACAGAAATTACCTGTTTGTAGCAAAAATATAGGTCTCATAATTCTATTTTCAAACAGGGAATGCCTTCAGCATCCTAATACTACTACTGTTAGAGCACAAAAGCCAGTACTGAAACAGAAAAGCAGCAATATTAGTTATGGTTTTAAAAACACAGCATGATAGTCCCAACATTAGCATTATAAAGCCTCTAGCCTGGCTTTTTTTCCTAGCAATTTGGACTGAAATGCATGTTTTCAAATCTCAGCTGTACTTATTGATAAATAATCATGTTTATTTAGAGGTCAGTTAACTTACCACAACCTTCTTTTCTGATGGAGAGAGTAATTTCAGTGCTGTATATTTGGTAACAACCCAGTTGTGTGTAATATCACATTGTACACACTAGAGAAACACAACTACTCAATTTCACTAAAGTGAAACTGCCAGTTACTGAAAGTGCAGCAAACTACCTGCCACCTGATGCCTCTCATGACTGATTTTGACCATATCTGACTGTTAACCTTCTGTAACCTCATCATCACATACATCACATTTTGTACACATACCAAAGATCAAAATACAGGTTTCCTGGTTTGTCAGGCAAGATTAGCTCACCCCATCTATCTTCCCAGCTGGAGACACCACAAAAATTTCTACTGCAATACATGAGCTTTGGATCCTCACACAGGTTAGAAATCCTGTCATTGTCATTACTGGGAATACCCCCGGATTCAGACTGCCTCAGATTATCATCCTGCAAATACTTAAAACCAATATACAAAACCACTGCCACAGAAAAGAAAGGGTCATATTCCCTTCGTCTCCCCCCATAGTACAGTACAGGTAGTATTGCTTATTCTGAACCTAGAGCATTCATCAGATGAGTCTTGGGGAACAGGAAACTTCAGCCTCATCTTTCTTTTCTCTGACTGATGAAAACATAAATCATTGCCCAGAACCTCATTATGTTAGAGATTGTAAGAACATCAAGGAAAAGGATTGCCTCTCAGCCAAAATAGAAAATGTTTACAGAAAATGCTAATATACTTCTGCAGGCCTTTCTGTGAAGTTCATAAAAACTGCACCAGCTAAATATTTCCTTCATATAATACTTGCGTTTTTAATTCACTGGCTGCAATTGCAACCATCAATATAATTGGTTTAAAATCAGTTTTTTTGGAATGCTCTATTTTCTAGAAAAAGGTTGAACTTTCTTGGGTCCAGATCACATCCCAATCAAATGCATTGTTTATTTTTTTACTAAACAGTAAAACAAGTTAACCAGTTAACTTCAGAGGTATACTCACTTATGAATGGCACACATCAGAGAAAACGACAACAATACTGAAGATGGAAAATGAACAGCTGTATCAACAGGAAATAATTAAGGAAACTGAAGAATGAGGTTATGAGACAAAATTAAGAGGACTAAAAATAAGTCTATTTTGCTGTGAAATAACTATGGGAGGAAAAGAATTATACATCTCTCCATATGGTTTTGCTTCATTCTGTCCCCAGGGGAACTTCTTCCCTATTGTAAAGTAAAACAAGTTTCATAAAAGAAACACATAGAAGTAGGTAATTTGTCCCTGTTTTTTAAGACAGTTCTCTTTGCTTTCAGTGTGAAGAAGAGCTTTAGATATGAAGACCCCATCTTCATTCCCTACCAAAGCATCTTCCCAGATTTGGTTTCTTTAGAAACTGTCAGCTTCTCCTAATTCTTAGAAAAAAAATATCACTGTTCAGAATGTAGCCTAAACAAAGAGCAATAGAAAATACTGGAATTACGTTTTAAACATTTTGCTCCAAAATCGTGAGATACAAGAGTTACTTAATTCTTGAGGGTCCTAGACTCTACTGATGTTCAATTTTTGTATTTTAAAATTTGTTTTCTTGTTCCCGTGCACATGCTCTGATTCCCTCTGGCAGACATTCACAGAACATACTGAACACACACCAACAAAATCGTGGTAGTTACAACGCACTTCAAGCAGATACAACTTTATTTTAAAATGTAGAAGAGATTTATTCCCAGAATCACCTGTTTAAAGTAAACATAGGTGCTAAAACAGCTTTGCAGAATGTGAAAGACTGTCAATGTCTCATTTTTTTCAGATGATAATTAATATTCATGTTTCCAGGAGATCCTAATCTCATTGATAGATCTGTTAAACCAATCTGTGCTCTCTGCACTAATAGTAACTCAATACGTACAGAGGCAAAAGAATAGCATAAAGGCTATTAGTAGCCCTGTACTGGAGAGCAGACAATCTAAATGTATCTGCTCCTGTTTATGCACTTAACTTGGAAGGTTTATTGGAGAAATATATAAATAGTTCTTGAAGATAGATCTGGAATCCAGTAACTCTCCTTCTCTAACTGAGTGTCTGGTCTAGTTAGAGGCGAGATTTCAAACTCGCTATAGGTTCTGGACATGTTCTCTAAAAGCTTGTAAGGAAGCTTGTTCTTTTACACCTTTGCTTTGTTTCCTAGGACACTATTATCTTGGACTACTTTTCCCCCAATCTTAAAACTTCCTCTTTGACAGGAACTTTTTGTACGCTCTCCCTCATTGCACTTTAGATCTGACACTAAACCTTAAAATAGTTACCAACAATTTTTTAAGTTTTTACCATTAGATTTTCAAAATTAACTCTCTGATGAGATTAGAGATAGATCAATTCAATGCCAATAATCTGTCCTGAGTCAAGAAGACCATAAACTTTAACTTACAGTTATTCTGCATTTAGAAGATTAGTTAGATGAGTTACAATAGAGTTTTCATTAGTAATCCGAATGCTGCACTAAAAGGCTGAATGCACTTTAAAGGTCATATAACTACACTGAACAGCTGAAATGCATTAAATCGCCAGATTGCAAACTACGCAATGAGCAATGTAAGGATAAACATAAAGATTACCGAAGGTCAATTTAAAGTCTCACTTGGAGACTTTCCAGCATAGAAGTTATAAAAATTTCAAAGAAATGGATTTATCAAGCAATTGCCCACATGACTACCTTTTCATGAACATTTTTATGTGGGACATATTTGACAGGAGAAAAGGCCAGAGCAGAATGTGTTTTAATCAATTGATATTTACCTCCTTTTCTTTGTGTGCATTACTCTCTCCTAGTAGAATTAAAGAATGAGCAGAAGATTACAAAGGGAAAAGGCAGACAATTTTTCCCGAGGAGGTGCCTAGCAATTCCTGAAGCAAGCCTTTGCTGTTCATATCTATACTGACAGCTGGACTTCCTGTCTCTGCGTCTGCCCATAACACATTCAGGAAGGAAGGCTTATATCTTTACATGTTTTCCATGAAGTACTTTGATGACTAATTTCTAGAGTACTGACGCACATTGACCTTTCACATACTCCCCCCATCCAAATTGTTACTGTTCTCCCAACTCCACGTTTCCCATTGTTACATCCCTTTGCTTCATTTAAATTGGATTTCAATTTTCTAAAACACACTTATTTAAACTTTAGCTTCCTTTTTTTTTTTTAAATACAGGTTAGAGTTATGTTTTTTCACTAGTTACTGAAAATTAAGTTTATGTCAATACTTCCAAGTAAAATATTACAAAAATCACTAGTAATATTTTGGGTTTTTGAAGGGGGGGGGGTGGTGGTGGCAGTGTTTGTTACATTGCCACCATTGTAAGCCTCATTGTTGAAGTGTTTTTAGTTTCTTGAGAGTGAAATTGGCTTATAGTAGCATCAATTTAATTTGTTTCCCCTAAATTGTTTTTGTACTTCTCAAAATATTAATTGCTTCAAATGTTACAAGCCTTAGAAGGATTTGAAGTAGTCTGGCAGACAATTCTGCCTGAATCAAGCCTCCCTTGGAGCTACCATAGTGGAGAAATTGTTTAAAAAAAAAAAAAAAAAGAGCTTTTTTCCAAACTCTAGCTATTAATCAAAATTAACATAATCACCTTCACAATGGCTTTCTTTCAGATAACTGTCTTGGAGCTCTAAATACCTTAGTCTGACATTCTGACAACCAAAGATGAGTTGTATTAGTAATCAGAAAAGTATATTCATTGTTTCAAATTTAAAGAGATAAAAGAGTCCCTTTTCACAGCTCTGATCACTGAATTTGAATCTAAACATCTGATTACTGCATCTACCACATTCTAAAGAAAAAATAACAGTAGATACTCCTTTCTGCCAGCTAAAGAAGACAAATCTCTCACGTAAAACTGAAAGTCTGTTACAAAGTACTCACCAAACTCCTAGCAACAGCTCTTGAAGAAAGAAAGAATTCCTAAAGCACTGCTGAGTATGATCCTCCCCTACTAATTCACGTTGAAGGGGTGTGGTGTAAAGCTACAAAGGCAGGATTGCAACCTGATCTTCCCTGAGCAGGGTCCTGCCTGTGGATTAATCAGCTACTCGTTGTTCTTGCTTTTTGTAGAGCACATGGGTTCACTCTGGGTAGAAGTCAGGGATCCGCAGCAGCAGGGACGCTTCCTGTTTAAAGTTTTCAGATCTGCCTGCAGTTTAGAGCAACTGTGTTCTAAACAACACTAGCTGAAGTGAAATGCACTTTTAAAGAATGAGAGACGGTCTGTAGGATATTTTATTCATTGTACCTTGCAGGCTTTGATATGGCTCATGAGGTTGCCATATTTACTGCCTATTTAACAAAGATATGTCGTAGTTAACTGTTGGGTTTTGTTTATTTGTTTTTAAACAAAGCCATGCTCTTCACTCTAGATCCGGGCTGCATTCATCACAGTATCTATCTGGAGCTGTACTACAAAGGCTGTTCCGCCTTCAGCTAGCACACACTATCTATTTACAAATCACGTTTGTATGCAGTAAAGCTAAAATTAAGCATCATTAAGAGTAATTGGCTGAAAACATGAAAACAGGGACAGGGACTCTGGTTGTGACACTGAGACCTTGTAACTTGTGGATGTAGAGGCAAACAACCAGAATCCTAGTCCTGGACAGACAGGACGAGAATTAGATAATTAATTCATAGATAATGAACTAAACAGCAACTGACAGAAGTAACAGCTGAAGAACAGTAACTTGCACAGTTGCAAATAATTGCAATTATTTCAGGGAAAAGACAAACAGATGAGTTAAATCACTTTCATTGAAGATTGATATTCATCTGTTCATCATTGTCCTCAAACAGATTGGAAGTTTTTCATAGTCAGTTAACATGTTAACTGTCTCTAACACAAACAGAAGTGCTCCTGGCAGCTTCTTAGAGATCCTTGTCTGTTGTTCCTGACTGTCAAAATGTCTGCAACACTTTTCAGGGCAAAGTCAGTAGTCAGCTGAGTCTACTGACCATTAACTGGGTCAAAAATCAAATGGATTAACCGTCCTGAAATGGACTAGAAGCACACACAAGTAAAGGGGCACTTTAAATACTGGGGGTGGGATTCTACCATACAGTTACTAATTACCAACTCCTAGCTCAGATAAAGTTAAGGAGCAACCCAGCTCACAAGTTGGCTAAATGGAAATGGTCACTCTGTCATTTGTGTGACCTCTGAAAAAACATGTGTTGGGTGCTTATGTGTTAAGAATTAGTTTCTAGCAGTGCTATCCCTGAATCTCCCCAAGGGTCACAAATAAGACAGCCCAAAACAGATGTAGTAAAATGACACCACAATTTAAAGAATCTCAGTCTGTACATTTACAACAGAAACAAAACCAAACAGATTTCCAAAAAATGACATACTTCTTCATTTTGGTTTTCTTAGAATCATAGAATGGTTCAGGTTGGAAGGGACCTTAAAGATCATCGAGTTCCAAACCCCCTGCCATGGGCAGGGACACCTCCCGCTAGACCAGGTTGCTCAAAGCCCCATCCAGCCTGGCCTTGAACACTTGCAGGGATGGGGCATCTACAACTTCTCTGGGCAACTGCTACCCTCACAGTAAAAAAATTCTTCCTGATGTCTAATCTAAATCTCCCCTCTCTCAGTTTAAAACCATTACACCTCCTATCGCTCCACTCCCTGATAGAGTTCCTTCCCATCTCTCCTGCAGGCCCCCTTTAGGTACTGGAAGGCTGCTCTGAGGTCTCCCTGGAGCTTTCTCTTTTCCAGGCTGAACACAGAAGAGGTGTTCCAGCCCTCTCATCATCTTCGTGGTCCTCCTGTGGATTCGCTCCAACAGGTCCATGCGGATGGACAGAGATAGTTTCAAACTTGCTCAGCTCTACAGGGTATTGTGGAGGACTTGGTTTATTTTTAGTCATATCAGATGCTGAATGGTTTGAATTTACCTGTCCATGCAAATATATTCCTAACCTACGGACTCAACCTGGTCAAAGCTTCAAGTGGGCTTTTTTTGGTTTTAATGATAAATTTATTTATTTATTAGATCAATATGCAAAAAAAAAAAAAAAGAATTTTCAAAGTTTATGTCATAAACTGTAGCATAATTCCTTCTTTTCCTACAAAATCTCACTCAAGTAACTCAGATTTAGTGTACAAATTAATAAAGTAACTCTGAAAGAAACAGTCCACACAGAGGTGAAAACCAAGAAAATGCTACAGTTTTAAAACATATTTATCTTCTTATAGTCAAATAAATTGAGAATCACATATAAAGAAACGTACACTTTAGTGAACATATAAGAGAATGAAACCCCTTATTTTGATTAAAAGTTAGATTATGAAATCTTTGGTAAATAAATAAAGCAGGATGAGACCTCCATCTTCATGGACATACCACCATGTGCATAAAAACCACATATCCAAAAGAAAAATTCAAAGGAAACAGTATTTCATTTTAAGAAGAATATTTTTGCTTTCTAGTCTGTTAATGTCTCTCCAGTTCCCATGTGCAGTCCTCCTAAATTAGTTATGAGGAGGGTCTCTGGACTCATTTGCATTGTAACTATTCCAGTTGAAACTGGAATCAGACTTTGGAGATAGAAACAAAACTGTTTTGAACCTCTAGTGACATCAAAGGATTCCATTCATCTATGACCTGGCCTAAACAATCACACTAACCTCTGGATTGCCCTGAATCCTGCTGATAGCTTAAGACAGTTGTCAATAGTTGAAGATCCACAGTGGAAAAAGTCCCTACAATTCTAAAAAACATTTTTCTTTCTTTTTTAGAAGGGGCTTTCAAGATGAGCAAGATGGAATTTCTTAGCTCTAAAACTAGTCAGTAAAAATCATTTTTCTAAGGTCCTATGGGAGGCTTGAAACCTCTCAAAAAGTAAAACTTGTAAATCACAAAATTCATCAACCTAGCTTCTGCTCAAGAGATCACCTAAGCTTTGTTGCTTTTCTGAAGAACCCAAGAATACTTACTGAGGAAATTTTTATGTGACATTATCATTATGTTCTCTCTTCATGTTTATTTACAGCATATACTACATTAATCAATTGCCAATACAAAGACTACAATTCGGAAGATCACCATTTCACATGACTTCTGAGGTCAACCCACAGAGTCAAGCTCTGGCCAGTTATGCATAATAGGAACCGTACACATTATTGAATCAGTGTGAGAAAAGATAATTTACAGTACATATATCAACAGGCTACCTACCATATTCTGCTTGTTTCTCACAGATTACTCTAGAATGCAGCTTGGGCAGTGCAAGCCTAATATTCCAGCCCCCCTTAAAAGCCTCTTTCTGCTGGCCTATTCTGAAATTACTCAGGTTTGACAGTCAAAGGGAAGTCCAGAGACTATTTACATGGTTTTTCCTCTATAGTCAGAATAGCTTTACTCAGCGATTACATCCTGAGAACATCATAGACTGGAAAATGGCAGAAAAGACCCAGCAGGAAGGTCTGAATGATCGCAGACAAGACCAGTGCTACTACATGCATTCCAGATCATTCATATTGCTGAGAACTTCCATAAAGGAATTTGACTTGAGTACAGTTTATACAGCATTTCTGTCAAAAAATCCATCAAATCCATGCCTTTCCAATTTAGAGACCGGGATATCATGTGGGACAGTGTCAAACACTTTGCATAAGTCCAGGTAGGTGACATCTGTGACACTGGTCAGCAGACTACTGGCCTACAGAAGGTATGCAAGGGTAACAATTCTAATAGTAAAAGTCTTAGGATTTTTAAAATACTTACAACACACAGGTGAAAAATGGCTCACTCTTTCCTGACTCACAGCTGTGACATTCGGTCAGATACTACACCTTTCTTTTTCATCTTCTGCCATGGTACTAACATGGCTATGTTCCCACTGCAGTGAGGCAAACTGTTACTGGTTTTACAATGGGCATTGGTAGTGCCAGCAAGACATCAGGAAAAAGGAAGAAAATGGCTAATAACTAACCTAATTCAGAGGGACTGGGGCAGCATCGCTGTCTTCTGGAATGTCTGTCCTCTGTTTTGGTTGGTGGTCATGCTGATACTGAAAGGGATGGAGAGAAAGACAGTGAACTTCAAATTAAAATTCTCCTATACTGTGCATTTTCATTTGTACAAAGTGGATGGGCTTTAGCAGAATGTTATACTGAACCATAGTGCTAAATACAAGGTATTCACAAATGAAAATGATGCTCGTGTCCAGTCTTGTTACTGTTTTACTGTACAAGAACAGAGATAAAGCAGCAGAAAACTATGAGAAGTTTTGCGTGTGCATATAAAATTCCTTTTTTAGCTCTATCATCCCTGAAGCAAGATTTACTATGCAACACAGTTGGAAAAACAGAAAAGCATTTGCTTACACAAGCTGTTCTTCAGGGCTTAACACAAACGCCTCTCTCAGTGTGGTTGTGACATTGCTTGGACTTTAACAACATAGATGTTTGTGATGTTTTGTTGCCCCCTAGTGATGCCAGTTCATTTTTCCACTGCTTAGTTCTGTAAAAATTTTCATAAACACAAGAGGTTCCTGTCTCCTGCCTTCAAAAAATTAAATCATAACTTAATTACTTCTACTTGGTGCTTGATTTGGATGAAAATGTATGGTTATTTCCAAATCTTCATAAGGATCTGGATCACAAGTTTACAGGAAAACTACCACCAGCATAGTTGACTTGCCCCCGTGAGTTTAAAGTCAGCTAAGATGCAGTAGTCTCTGTCACCATACAGGGCAAAAGCACCCAAGGGCCTTTTCCTCAGTGCAGACACTAATCATCTAACACAGTGGAAGGTTGTTGCTCTTGCAGTATTCCTGAAAGCACCGAAAGTTGCAGCTTCCCATGTACAATGGCACACCACAGCAAACACCTACAGGAGGAGACAGCTACCGATCACAGGTTCCCCATTTGCGCTATTAATATAAGTTTTGTACTTAAGCATTACATTATCTTCAAATTAGCTGATCTTTTTGAGACCACTGAAGTATATGACTGTTTTCCAGCTGAGGTCATGTACATGTTGATGACATAAAACTTCAAAACCCCAACCAGGTTCTAAAAGAAGAACTTAAGATAAGTTCCTTTTAATAAGAGTTTTGCAAATGGCTCTATTACTGTT